TGCTCTGTCTCCCAGGCTGGAGTGCAGTGGCACAATCTCGGCTCACTGCAACCTCCGCCTCCTGGGTTCACGCCATTCTCCTGCCTCAGGCTCCAGAGTAGCTGGGACTATAGGCGCCCGCCACCACGCCCGGCTAATTTTTTGTATTCTTTAGTAGAGACGGGGTTTCAGTGTGTTAGCCAGGATGGCCTCGATCTTCTGACCTCGTAATCCGCCCGCCTCGGCCTCCTAAAGTGCTGGGATTACAGGCGTGAGCCACCGCGACCGGCCTTCTTTTTTTTGTTTGTTTGTTTTGAGACAGAGTCTCTCTCTGTCGCCCAGGCTGGAGTGCGGAGGCACAATCTCGGATCACTGCAAGCTCGGCCTCCCGGGTTCACGCCATTCCCCTGCCTCAGCTTCCAGAGTAGCTGAGACTACAGGCGCCCGTCACCACACCCGGCCAATTTGGTTTTTCGTATTTTTTGTATTTTTAGGAGAGATGGGGTTTTACCATGTTAGCCAGGATGGTCTCGATCTCCTGACCTTGTGATCCACCTGCCTTGGCCTCCCAAAGTGCTGGGATTACGGGTGTGAGCCACCGCGCCCGGCCCAAAACTCACATGTCTCTATGACAGGAATTGACATTGATTAAAACAAATACATTTGTTGGTAGCATATTTTGTTTATTGTCGTGAAATTATACAACAGCACAGTTAAAATTCTCTGAAGTAATGGCCATCACCTCTCTGAAAAATGACACCAAGCATTCAACCTTTTATCTCGTGTTTTAGTTTTCTATGGCTGCTTTGAAAAATTAGAATGAACTTAATGGCTTACAACAATACACACGGGTTCTCTTACAGTTCTGTACATTAGAAGTCCAGCATTGGTCCTGCTGGGCTAAAATCAAGATTGGCAGGGCTGCGTTGTCTTCTGGAGGCTCGAGGGATAAATCTGTTTCCTTGCCTTTTCCAACTTCTGGAGGCCGCCCACATTCCTCGGCTCTTGGCCTCTCCCTCCATCTTCAAAGCCAGAATAGTGGGTTGAATCCTTTTGACACAGAATCACTCTGACTTCCCCTTCTGCCTCCCTTTTCCCCACTTTTAAAGACCTTTGATTACATTGGGCCTACTCAGATAATCCAGAATATTCTCCCCATTCCAAGGTCTTTAACTTAATCACTTCTGTGAAGTCCACTTTGCCAGGTAAGATAACATATTGGTGGGTTCTGGGGATTAGGATGTGGTATTTTGGGGAGGCCATTATTCTGTCTACCACGCCAACTGGCTCAGTTGCTCTGTGTGTGTGTGTGTGTGTGTCTGTGTGTGCGTCTGGGGTAATTACATAGGGGCCTCAGACCTTTGAGCTGATCAGGAGAGTATGTAATTTGGGGTGAGGGGGTGGAAGTGGAATTCTGCCCATTGCTCCTGGCTGCCCAGGACTGGGGAGGAGGTATGGATGCGGCAATGAGACAGCTCTGGCAAACCTGCCAAGCACTGCTGAGTAACCTTTTTTAGAAAAGTTTTAAGAATGGGCTAAAAAAAGCCCTGGCTCCTGCTCCAATTCATATGTATTAGCATTTAATTAGTATTTAATTTAATTGGTATTTATTAGTGTTCAGAATCAGGGGCAGTCCATCCAAAACCACAGCAGAAGAGCTGGCACACTGCAATCATTCTTCCATGATACCAACAACAATGAAATCTCAGGGTTAAGGGTGACCCATTTAAGAAATATATTTTTGCAGAAGAGGCTTTCGAGTAGGCCCTTTCAGCAGTTTGAATCAGAAAGTACTGAAGTTCCTCAATCCAGTTTTAACAGCAGCAGCTTCCTTTGCAGATGTAGAAGAGGCACTCTTTTCCTTCTTGGGATTGTTAAATCTACGTTGACAAAGTTCAGACCCTGGAACATATTTGGCTGTACACACAGTAGGTGCTTGAACAGCTGTTGAGCTGAATAATCCAAAGCCTTTTATTTCTAGGCTATGAGTAAATACAAAAGGATTAGATTGGAAGCAATTTGGTGATATCTAATAAAATTTAAAATGAACATATCCCTGACCCTGCGGTTCTACTTCTTGGTATCCATCCTAAAGAAATATTTGCATGTGTGTGTAAGGATGTACATGCAGTGTGGTGGAATTTGCAATGGTCACAGATTAGAAACAGCTTAAACGTCACTTGAGGAATGGCAAAATGAATACAGTACATCCATACTAAGCAACTTTTAAAAAAGCTACATCTATATGTTTGAACATATTATACAGTGAAAAAAAGCAAGTTTTGGAACAATAGGTATCAGTGTGATTTCTCCATAAATTATGTATTTTATAATATATATACACAGTAGAAATGTACACAACACAGACTCTTTCTCCCTATGTCTCTGTGTGTCTCTCACACACTCTTTCCATATACATGACATAGAAATTTCTGGAAGCATAAACAGCAGACCGAAAAAGTTGTTATTCTGGGAGGGGGCTGGAATGGTCTTGAAGGAGTGTGGATTGGTAAAAATGGATTTTTACCTTCACCTAGGTTGTGTGATTTTTTTTGCAACAAAATGTGCTTAAGTGTAATTAAAAGTAATACATATATATATATATATATTTTTTTTTTTTCTTTTTTTTGGAGATGGAGTTTTGCTCTTGTCATCCAGGCTGAGGTGCAAAGGCATGCTCTCGGCTCACTGCAATCTCTGCCTCCCAAGTTCAAGCAATTCTCCTGCCTCAGGCTCCCAAGTAGATGGG